TCCTCCCAATCTGGAAATCGCACCAGGAAAGGGGTCCTGCCACCTCTGGACTCTTCTTTCTTCAAGCTGTCTTTGTCCATGGAGAATTGGTTGGTTTTGCAGACTGGAGCAAGAAGTCTTGCATTCTCCCTGTGTACTAGTTGGGACTCTCAGTTACAGATAACAGAAAATCCAATCTGAACCAGACTAAGCTAGAAAGAAACTTACTGACTTTTATAATTGAAAAGTCCAAAAATTGATCTATCTTCAGGCACAGGTGGACTTGGGGCTAAGCAATCTCCTCAGAACCTAAGGCTCCTCTGCCTCTTGGCTCAGCTCTGCTCCTCTCAGTGACCTGCAGTCTCAGTCCCTCTGTCCTTAAATATAAATCTCCAAAAGACAAAACCAAACGTTTCTTCTCTTCCCAATAACTTGATTTAAAAAAAAAGTCCCAAGGCTCACTCTGGGTGACTTAGGTCATGTGCCAACTCTGAACCAATCAGTGCTGTCTGCGGCCTCAAAGGCACTGACCGACCGGGACCAAGTCGTAGGTTCTAGCCTGGCTTGCCTTCGAGTGGAAGGAGGGACATTCTCAGGAGGAAGGATGGAGGCTGCTGAAGGTAAAAACAGCAGATGCCCCCAGCACCCTCTGGAATCCTCAGCAGCAGCCCCGTGGTGGAAGGGACCTTCTCCCTGCCAAGAGCCTCGAAGCTGGGCTCCTGCACAGGTGCATGTGAAATGAGCTTGTCTCAAGTGACCACCTGGTGCTTCTTGTTGCTATAGCAGCAGCTTTGCTGGAGAGCCCATGGGACATGCACTCTCTACGCTGGGTCCCTTGGCTGTGCCCAGGACTTCATGGAATCCACACCAACCGCCACCTGCCAGGCCTTTTCTGCAAATAATGAGCATAATATTCACCCAGTATGTGAGCACAGTGGGCCCGGTGGTCTGAAAATATTTCAGAGTTTCCTACGTTGCGTGTCCACCTCTTTTCGGAGTTCATGCCAGGGCTGCAATTGTAAGCCGTCTAGAGAAGTGGGCATCAAGAGACAGCCCTGTATCCTTCCCTGACTGGCTGTACCCCTACCTATAAGAGCTTGTGGTGTGGAGAGGACAAACATCACATTGCAAAATTGGAGCACACCTGTGTCAGGACTTGGGCAGCTAGATATGCAAGTGGGGGAGGGGAAAGGCTAGGCTTTTGAGACCAGCCAGATTGAGGCAGATCCCAAATAAAACTGGGCCCAGGGGTCTCCTGCAGTTTCCACAGCAGGGGACCACAGAGTGACCAGAGGCCTGAGGCAGGCAGAGCTGCCCCACCTCCAATCCCCATCCAGGACACAGGTATCAGCCCACAAAGGCCTGTCAGGGTAGCACGCAGGTCAGACAGAGCCAGACAGTACCACTGAGGGCCCTGGACTCCCAGTTCCCAGTTCTAGTGGCTGAGCATCCTAGGGCTACACTTAAGGCCAGCGGCCACAGCAAGCATGTGCAGAATCTTATGACAGGGCCTCACGAGCAATCAAGCATCCACCCCTGCCCCCCATGTTCTATACTCCTTGCCAGAGATGACCCAGAACTGGGTCTGCTATGGGAGGGTGATAGGTACATGGACCATTTGAATGGTGCTGAGACACAGGGCCGATGACTGCAGTGATGGGCATTGAGGGAGCCCTGGGATCTGAAATCCAGAGAAGGCCATGACCCTGGAGAAGCTACCCCTAGACCCCATCTCTGGCTCTGAGGAAGCCTGGAGTCTCCTCTAGGTGAAGTGTGACTGGATTTGGGTCACCAAGTCCAGGGGCCAAAAAGTTCTTGGTCTCATCTGAGAAAGAATTCAAGGACAGACACACAGGAACCATAAGCAGAAGCAGGTTTACTAATGCAAAGCAAAGAGAAAGCAGAGCTGAAGTGCTTTCTCCACGTTGGAGGGTGAGCAGTCTCAAAAGAGAGCATTGCACTAGGGGATCCCAAGACCTCAAGCTTTTTATTGGAGTCTGCAGACATGGGGTGGTCAGTCCTGATAAACGTGGCATAAACTTCCAGCCTGGTTTATGGATCACCAACGCACACGTCAGGCCTTGGGTGGTCAAGGCTGTGGGGGCTGTGGGTCAGCAAAACCCTGCTGCGTGTCACAAGTTGTAACATTACTGTCAGCAGCCCAGGCTGTGATTCCTTATCAATATCCAAGCCATCATTCTCGGCCTCCAGTTTTCCTAACCCCCCATGTAACTCCTATATCAAAAGGACCAGGTCCTGGGGATGCAGTGTCAGCTGCCAAGGGAAAGGATGGGAAATGACACTGACTCTCAAGTCTAATTGGAGTTCCAGCAATAGAGAGGGAGGGGGAGGTTAGTTGGGGTAGCTGAGGCTGCTTTCCCTAGACCAGGACCTATTGAAGGCCTCTTTTTCCTGGACAGAACACAATCCAGGGAACTACCTGCGGTTCCTCTCTGTCCACCAGAGGGCGCCAGACCCTCACGAATCTTCAAAGTAGCGTTCAGAGGCTTAGAAGCTGGATCAAGGTGACTCTCGACTCTCTGGACAGGTCCCCAGTTCATTGTGAGTTTATCCCAGGACTAGGGAAGAGTGTTCACCAAACCTTTGGTGAAGTAAGGAGCTGAGCTGGGTGAGAGCATGCAGGAAGCTCTGGGCACTGGGTGTCTCAAGGGCCCTGACACCAGCCTCATCCTACGGCTCACTTTTGGCAGAGGAGGAGCCTTAGGCCCCAGGAAGCCTCACTTACTTGCTCTATATTGACATGGCTGCCATGCCCGTGTCTGGACCGAGGCTAAGCTGCTCACGTCCTTTCTGGGTAGTGGTTCCCAACAGGGCTACAGCCTGAGGGAGCTGGGTTGGACTTGATCCCAACTCCATACATGGCCTGTTACATGTGGTCCCCATGACCCTTCACCTGCTTTAGAGATTTACCCTCCTGGGCTCTGGGCTTGGGAGCATCCCAGGACTAAGCTGCCCTGGGCAGCAAGACAGAGGAACCAGCCAGTTGGGGACCAACTGGAAGAGCCAGCATGCAGAGGTCCAAGAGGTGGAAAAGGCTGTGTGGTCTGTGTATGGGATCAGAGGATCCCTCCTTCCCAAAGCCTCAATCTGTCTCTGATCTGGGGCAGCAAAAGGGAGACTATCCTGGAACTCTAGCATCTCCTATGAAGCCCAAAGGTGGAGAGGTGTGGAATGGGCCAGGCATGGTGTGGTCTGCAGTAGTGTGCACTGCAGGGGGCTGGGGTGGGGGGATACTGGGGTTTGAACTCAAGGTCTCATGCTTGCTCCAGGTGCTCTACCACTTAAATCACACTTTTTGCTTTATTTTTCACATAGGGTCTCTAGATTTTGCCAAGGGCTGATCTCCACAATCCATCCTGCCTCCTGGGTAGCTGGGATTACAGCACTGAGCCACCACACCTGGCCTGGCCAATGCACACACTTTCTCTTCTTCCCAGCACCACCCCTTAACTCAGCCCAGCCTCTTCAGGTATCTAGGGCTCTCCAGGAAGTTTTTTGGTTTTGTTTTTGTGAAAGTTTTTTTTTTTTTTTGGTGGGATCAAGGTTTGAACTCAGGGCTTCATGCTTACAAAGCAAGTGTTTTAACACTTGAGCCATGTCTCCAGCCCTTTGTGAAAGTTTTAACAAGAATTTATTTTAGGATAACAGGATAAAGTATAGACAGAGGGAAGGAAGGGAAAAAGGGAAACATTTCCTGTTCCCCACACAGGAAATGAGAGCAAAACCCTTTCAGTGGCTCCCCCAAATACAATCTGTATACCTGGTTCGTATGTCCCAGCCCCTGTCTCACAGGAAACACTTCACCTCAGCATCCATATCAGGAGGCCCGCCTGGGCACAGCACCCTTGCCTTTTCCCCACCTCCCTTCCAACCTCCACTGTCAGTTTACATACCACCTTCCTGGGGAAGCCTTCCTTGACTTTTTTCCTTGGCCCATAGCAGTGCCCAGGACAGATAAATCACTGCGGAGCTGATGATCACTGCCCTGCTTCTTGATTGATATCTGCCAATCCCCAGGATGTAGGCTCTAAATGGTGGGGACGGGGAGATGGAACCCCTCTCATCAGGAGGGGCCGATTACAGCATTTTCATAGAACTGTACCCAAAACAGCTCCAGGGTTAACGCCAAAGTATGGTTGGGGGGCTGGGAGATGACAAGGTCAGGTTTCTGCACACATCAGGGTTCCTCCGGAGGGGCGTCCCCCATTCTGACCTCAACTGGTCTCATGCCCCAAGTTATCTCACTGGGACTCCCCGCTCCTGTAAGACATCTGCCCACCTCTTCTGGCAGAGGGTCCTGCACAACCATCTCCAGAAAGATCAGGCTTCAAGTTCAGTAGTCTGGGACTCACAGCCATCTCCACCTAAGGGCACCTCCTCCAGGCTGCTTTCCATTCCTGACTACTTAACATGGGTCTGAAAACCAGATGGTCTAGTGTCCTCTCCAGTGTGCTCATGGAACAAAGGGGCCCATTTCTCCAGGGAGCCTGGAGCTTACCAGTTTGCATCAGCCCCCTCAGCCATAGAACCGGTCCTAAATGGAGGCAGGTGACATGAGCCACCAGCAGGGGGAGCCATCACATTGTTGGGCTACATGGCAGTGCCTGTATTGCATGAGGACACGGGTTGGGGGGGGTTTCAGGAGCCACCAACACGGACAGGCTCCACAGGCTCCACGTACATCCACTTGCATTTCCCCAGTGCCAGAGGACACTTCCAGGGAGCCAGGACTTACATTTGGCACACAGTAACAAGAGTCCAAATTCCCAGGAAATGGTTCTTGGTACCATCCGTGGTGGGTAGCAGCCTCCACTTCTTCCCATTAAGTCCAATACCCTATTGGTCACTCTGGCCACCTGAACCCAATGGCCAACTGAAGCAGAGTCCTGACAACCCATCAGAACAGAACTGCTGTCCACTTACCCAGAAAAATCTTACCTGCATCCCTCCCCAAAACACTTGAAGAAATGAGAACACAGAAAAACCAGACATGAGACAGCTTTGTTAGAACAACTCAGCAAAATAAAATTCCGGTTTATTGTTGGACAACATTGTTTCACACATACATCAAACAGGCCAAAAAAAATAAACAGCAACTTCATAGACAAAAAAAGGAAAAAAAGAAACCTTTTATCTTTGGCCTTTTTAACCATCTCATACAAACCAACTACTTATAGTACAGCTAAGTACATACACAAAAAAAGTTACTGGAATGCTCGGAATAAGATTGTTTTTTTTGTTGTTGTTTTTGCTTTTTTTACAAGGTTTTCTTTCTCCTTTGAGATCATAATGAACATGGTCACACCACAAGTAAAGTCAGAGTAGGACAGAGAAAGCTCTGAAGGCTGGTTTGGTCATCCGAGATCATTAAAAATGGCTGACCCCTAACAATATGTACAAAAATATAAAATGTAAATAAAAAATACAAACAAATTTTCCTTTTTAAAGTACTTTTAAGAAAAAAAGCAGGGCCTTGGAAGTTTTGGTTTTTTTCCTCCCCTGTTGCAAATTCACGTTGTGGTTTTGGTGGGGTGGTGGAGAGCTTGGGTGGCGCTGCCCGAAGTGGGCGGGCGGGCGGGCCTCTACTCGAAGGTGACCACGTTTAGATTCTGAGACGGGAAGTGGAGGGTTGAATAGGTCACGGTGGCCTTTTTTAGTTTAACTTTTCCTTTTTTGCTGTCTAGTCATCCTCATCAGTCTTCTGCTTCTTGGTATCAACATCATCATCCTGGGCAGAAAACAGTGTCACAGCCCTGCCCTCCAGTGCCTCTGCCCCTGCAGAACAGCCATCATGCCCAGGGAACTCCACACTTGGGGGTGGGGGTGTCAGCCCTTCCCCATTTCTGCCTCAGGGTATGGTTCCACTTGGGGTTGTTCATTGTTATCCCCAACTTCAAAGAACCAACCTCTCCCAGCTTTCCTGCTTCAGCTCAAGTCCAGCTAGAGGCAGGAGAGGGGGACCTCACATCTAAACCCCTCAAGACAGAGCCTACCTCATCATCTTCAGCTGCCCGTTTGCCCGTGGCTGCCTCAGCCTCCTCATCTTCATCTCCATCCTCTTCCTCACCTGGAAAGATCCAAGGGCCAGATAAACCAGTGTCCCACAACTGTGGCTAACAGACGTATTGGGGTAGAATGTCCCTAACCTCTCTCTGCTCCTTGATGAAAGCAGACAGACCAGATACCCACTCACCCGTGTAGTGGCTTCCTGTGACCAATCAGTGCCTGGTGGCTTTTAAAGAGGGGGACCCAATATCTAGTGAGAATGAGTGGGCGTGGCAGGCATAAAACAAAGTTACAAAGTTCTGACTCCACAGGTGCAAGCCCAGTTCATGTGGCCCACTCCCCCATATACCATGGTCTTGAACCCAGGTAAAGGAACCAGAAATGTGGGAGACAGGGCTACTCACCATCACCTTCCTCCTCCTCCTCCTCTTCTTCCCCACCTTCTTCCTCTTCTTCATCTACTTCATTGTCAGCCTCCTGCTCTCCATTTTCCTCATTCTGCTTAACAGAAAACACACCGGTCACTGGATACTAGCATGAGTCATGCCCCTATCCCTCAAGGATGAGGGATGCCTAGCATACAGGAGACCCATCACCCAAGCTCCTGCGTTGGGACTGCCAAGAGACCAGCCTCCCTTCCCCATGTTGGGGGAACCTCAAATGAGATTATGGGAGAACTTCTTGCCATGGGTAGAGCCAGGTGGACAGAACACTCACAGCATTCCCATTGGCAGGAGCGTCTCTCCCATTTTCTGCCTCCTCCACAACTTCCTTCTTCTCCTTTAAGTCCTTTAAAGGGGAAGGAAAAAAGCCAATCTGAGTAACCCAGAGCAAGCAAGAAGGCTGAGATCTACACATTCAAAAGTTGGGTACACCTGTTATGTGTAGTGACCAATAGAAGAACACGCCGTACCTGCTTACTCAGATTTCCTGTAATTCCCCAAGTCCTGGACCAGACACACTACACGGAGCCCACTATTGGGGATCCAATGGACCCCTCATAGTTAAGGAGTGGTGACACCAGAGTCCCAAACCAGTCAGGCCGGGCCGACCAGCTAAGGAAATACTCACCCTTGACACCCGCCCATCATTCCAGCTAGAGAGCTCCACCCCTCATAAGCCCTTCTTGGAAGGCGACAGGTATGTGCCATAAATAAGGGAATGGAGGGAGGGGCCTGCTGCTGCCCAACCTGTCCCCGGGATGGGGGAGCCTGGGAAGCGATGAGGCCACATGGGCTGCCAAAACCCCAGAACCCTAGCAACTGCAAATTTATGTGGAAAAGCATGTCACACAGCACCCAGCCCCCCAGACAATCGTCCCGGAGGGGACGTTATGGGGCTTATGTCCGGGGTCTGCCGGTCTCCACATGCGTGTGCACAGACCTCACGCTGGTCCTGTTGACAGCTCAGTGTCACTGGCACAGCACCTCCTGAACAAACTAAGCCCAGGGCCTCGCCGCCCTAAACTCTTCCCACTGGAGCGGCCAAGTCAGCCATGCGGCGCCAGGCATCCAGCAACTCGGGCGCAGCGAACCGTGGGCCGCCGTTCGACTAGCGGCCTTTGGGCACCTGCAGGCGGGTTCGCTCCAGCCCGCCCACCGCCCGCTCCCGCCCCCTGGCGGCCAAAGTCCCGGGGAGCGGGTGGGGGGCGGGGAGGTGCCGGCGCGCAGGCGCACAACCCCCGCCCGGCAGACTAAGCGCGCGGGCCTCGGCACGCACCGCGCGCACGGAGCACGTGGCCCGGGGCCGCCGAGTGCGCCCCGGGCCCTGGAGACTCGCAGCCGGCAGGCAGCGCTCACCCTGCCAAGCGCGCCGAATTACGCGCCAGTTTGCCGGCTTCTGGATGCCCCCTGCCGCCTGTCGGGCAGGCTGGACGTGCCCGGCCTGCGTCTCCGCTTTGGCGGGCAAAGTCCCGCGGGTGGCTGACCTAAGTCTGCGGGGCTGTTTCAGTGCCGAGGCCGTCGAGGGCGCGTTCCCCGGGGCCACTCGTCGTCCCCCCGCGGGACTTCACCTTAGAGAAACGCTCACGCTGAGGCCAGCGCTGGGAAGGAGGAAGCTCCCCCAACCGGTTACTGGGCTGGGTCCACTGGGGCCTGTCGAGAGCCCCTCCAGAGATACCGGCCTCGAGGTCCGCTCCGCAGTGGAGTCGCCCCAGGGAGAGGCGAAGGTGACGCCAGGGGCACATGAGTTAAGGAGACGCCAAGGTGACTCACGCCAGGTCCCCGCAGGGGAACGGGGGGCGCGAGTAGGACCGAAATGTTAGCAGTAACTGTGTAAGAGGCGGTTCGCCTGCACCGCTCCCCAGGGCGGGCACGGGAGTGGCGCGGCGCAGAGTAGGGGCCGAGCCACGCGCGACTCTGGGCGCAGGGCAGGCAGTGAGCCCGCCCGAGGTGGAGGTCCGGGCGGCCGGGGCCGCAGGCTTCGCCCGCATGGTCCCCGAACCTCCGCACACACGGCTCTCCCGGGCAGCCGCGGGGGGCGCCGATCGCCACCCCGCAGCTTCACTTTCCGTTTCCTCCCCCTGCAGCGCGTGGGTTCACGGCCTGGGCCAAGCCCCGCACCGCCGGTGCATTACTGCCTGAGCCTTGGCGTCCGTTCCCGGCGCTCTCCCCCCAGAGGGCGCCCACCCAACCGGTCTAGCCGCGATCTCCAAGGCGACCCTTCACACCTCCGCGGAGACACCGAGTCCATCCCAGCCGCCCCAGCCCGGGTCACTCCAGATAAGCCACCACCGGCCCGCTGTACGGCGCGAAACCTCGCAACCCGGGGCCGAACAAAGAGCAGCGCGGCCACCGGGCGCCTGCTGCCACTTTCCGCAGCCGACCCGCGCCCTCACACGCGCCCCCAACACTTCCGATCGCCAACGCGCTTGAGTTTCAAAGTTATTTCCGTGCGCTGGGCGAGCCAAAGACCCCCCATCCCGACCCCTCTCCTCCCGCTGCCCCTCGGGGAGTCACAAACAAGTTCCAAGGACTTCGGCTCAGCCTTCCCCGGAGTCCCCCAAGCCTCCGCGTCCGCTCCAGGCCCTCCGGCCGGCTCCCGAACTGCAGCACTTCTGCCAGCGGCGCTTCCCGCCCCCTCCCCCGCACACAAAGAGTGGGCTGCCCCGGGGCACCGCGCTAAGGGCGGACAGGGGACTCCCGGCGGGAGGTAACCATAGCGAGCTCCGGGGCAGTCCGGCCGCGCCGCGCCAAACATCGCCCGGGCGGCAGCTGCGCGCGGACCCCGAAGGGGCGGGCGGCGTCCAGCCTCACCTTGGTGGTGATCTCGGAGCTGGTGTCCACGGCCGCGTCTGACATGGTGGGGCACGCCGGTGGTCCGATGCAACGAGTGAGAGAGAAAGCGAAGGTTTGGGGACTCTGGCGAGAAAGCTGCCGGAGCCCGCGGCGGCGCAGGAGGAGGAGGAGGAGGAGGCGCGCGGCGGAGGTGGCTGCGGCGAGGCGGACCCGGGAACAATGCAAAGATGGCTTTTCAGAGCAGCCAGTGGGGGACTCACGCGGCGCCAGAACCTTTAATATAGATTAGTGGGCGGCGCTTGGTCTCCCTTGCTCGAACGCTATTGGCTGAACGCCGGGAGCGGGCGTTCGCTCATTGGCTCTATTCCGAACAATGGGCAAGCGAGCTTAAAGCGGCAGTGCCTCGGCGCGGCCCGTGCTGCGCAGTCGCCGACCGTACTGTCATTCAGGGTCTAAGTTTGCCGGGTCTCGACAGCGCAGAGACCGCGGGAGAGTGAGGTGCGCGCGCGCGCGCGCTTTGGGCGCGCGCTCCCGCCGCTGTTTTGCTGGGGCTGCTGACGCAGAAAGCCAAAGCGCGGCAAAGCTGCCCGCCCAGCCTTCCTCCTGCCCCTCCCCTTGGCTGCTGGGAGGGAGGGGAAGGGGGAGGGGGGAGGAGGAGGAGGAGATGGCGGGCGCACGACGGTTGCCAGCGAGGGGGAGGGGACGGCGGGTACAGGGCGGTGCTCGCTCCGGGCGGTGCCCTGCGTAGTGCCCGCGCAGGTACCCAGCCCGTGCCACGGCCCCTTCGACCAAAAGTTGTCCGGCTATGAGTGGACGTAAGCCCGCGAGCAGTGACTAGGTCGCAAGGCTGAGACCCGTCCACCCGGGCCGCCCCGTCCTCGCCCAAGTCCACGGGAAGTGACCCGCCACCCACCACTAGTCTCGGCGTCTGCCGCCCATGTCAGCCGACGAGTGGGCACTGCGCCAAGCTCATACTCGGGAGCTCGTGCACCGAGGGGACTCGATGCCGGGCGTGGCCTCTTGCCCTCGAGCAGGACAGCCCGCGGCCGCTCTCCGCATAGCGGCGCCCGCATCGCAGAGTCTAGTCCTCCGCCTGTCCAGGGCGCTCACTGCCGTCAGTGCAGCCTCCTTAGGGTCCCGCCCAGCCATCGAGTGTACCCCTCACCCATCCACATTGGGGGCTTCGATGCGCACATGAATATTGCGCAATTAGCTGGGGGGGGAAATAACAGTCCCTTACACCAGCCAAGGTTAGTTGTTGGGGGCTCCTTCAAATTTAGGGAGCAAGTTAAAGAACCACGCGGAGCCCCGAGAAGAGAACCATGAAGGCGCCACACTCAAGATGGCGTTGGACTCAGCAAGCGTGGCGTGACGTGGCAATCCAACCCACCCAGACGATCCGAAGACCCTAGACTACACCTCCTTATCGCCACCTCACTTGGCTGTCGAACTAACAAATTTGCTCTGTGGTAGCAAAGACTAGAGGACTCGGAAGCGGATTCTAGAAAAAAAAAAAAAAATACCTGCGCCACACACAAGATGGCGACAGATCGCATCCGTCCTGGGTTGCCAGAAGGGGGCGCCCGCCACGGAAGGCGGGACTCCAAAAAAGCGAGCGCACACTGGCTGAGAGTGGCGGGCGAACACAAAGTTGACGCTTTGCGTCTTGCCATTGGCAGTTTCCGCCATCAGTCTCCTGGGGCCGCGGATCTGGGAATAGAGAAAACCCGGAGTGTAGGATTATGGACGGTGGACGGATGCCAAGTCCAGCAAGAATTTGAAGTCGAGGCGAGAAGAGACGCTGAGGCTCCCTTGTCGGTTCCCTTTGGCCCATCCCTACCGCGAGACCCCTTTTACTGAGCTTGCCACATGCTCCCCGGTTGGAAGGAGCGCGCGGTACGGGGCGCCACCGGTGTTGAGCCCCCTCGTGCTGCCTCCGCCCCTCCTGCGTCAAGCCCGCATCCCGGGGCACACGTGCCAGTCGGGCCGCTGGCCCATTGGGTTTTCCCGAGCCACTTTTCCTTTGGGAAGGAACCTGTCTCCTCTGTTCTATGGCCCGAAGAAACGTAACGCAGGGGCACCCATCTCCTTGCCTGGACATCGCTTCTGCCCCACCGTGCGCCGCGGCGGCAGGGGCGGGAGGGCAGCAACGCCCGCGAGGTCTCGGTTTATCCCGAGGCGCACGAATGACTGGAGACGGGATTTCTCCCCAGGGTGGGGCGCACGCGCGCCCTAGGGGCTTACAGAGATGTCTCAAAGGACCACGTGTCCCAACAGTGTCTCCCCCACCCCCGCCAGTGTCTTAGGTCTCAGACCTGCCATTCTCTGAGTGATGAAGGGATTGTGCGTCATTGTAAACGCAGTGGGGAGCGTCTTCTACCTGCGGTGCATCCATTAAGCTCCAGTTACCCTCCAGAGATTGCTCCAGCCACGAAACCCAGACGTAGTGGCCTGTGCCAAATTTTAGTGGTCAAGGCTTCCTCCCAGGCAGTCGCTTCCGCGTCCACAGCTGAAGACTGAACCTGAGAGTTCTGGATTCTGACGAGGGGGTGGAAGGAGGATCACAGGAAGGAACTGGGTGAATGTGAATTTCCCTCTAAGGACTGCTTTGCCTGATCTTGTTCCCATGACGCTGGCTTTGTTAGAAGTGGGTAAGAAAGACTCAAGTCCATTTGATTCCAGAAGCACTACTTACATTCACCAGGCACTTACAGAGCGCCTGCTATGTACATGGTAGTGAGTTTTTTTGGTTTTGGTTTTGGTTTCCCTTGTTTTTGGTGGGAGTGGAGTTTGAACTCAGGGCTTCACACTTACAAAGGAAGCACTCTACCACTTGAAACACACCTACAATCCATTTTGCTGTGGTTATTTTGGAGGTGGGGTCTCCAGAACTATTTGCCTTGGCTGGCCTCCAGAATGATTTGATGAGATCCTCCAGATCTCAGCCTCCCAAGTACCTAGGGTTACAGGCACAAGCCACTGGCACCTGGCTAGTAGTGACTCTTTGATGCTTCAAGAATTTCCATTTCTTCTTATGGTGGGTAGGACAGTTATTGGGTTAACCACATAAAGCTGATGTTTTCGTAGGTCTTAATCAATTGAAATCAATATACCACCACACGTTTTAACAAGGGGTTTTATATATCTAACAAGGGACTTAGAGTTAACAAGTGAATCAGTATCAGAACTGGACTAAACTCCTAGAACTGAGGAGTTAAGAAGAGCCTTGTAACAAATCTCTGTGAGTCTATGTGGGCCATAGACATGGGGTGTCTGACAGCTGGTAACTGTGAGATTTAAAATTGAAGCTGTGTAGAGCCTCCTTTCTCCAGTGACAGGTAACTCTGCCTCTTTGGTTATTTCTTTTTTCTTTTTTTTTTTTTTGTGGTACTGAGACTTGAACTCAGAGCCTACACCTTGAGCCACTCTGCCAGCCCTTTTATTATGTATTTTTTTCAAGATAAGGGCTTGCTAACTATTTGCCCAGGGCTGGCTTCGCACTGTGATCCTCCTGATCTCTGCCTCCTGAGTAGCTAGGATTGCAGGCGTGAGCCACCAATACCTGGCCCTTTGGTTGTATCTGAGTGGGTTGTTCTTCCTATCCCCTATCACTTCCACTCCTGGATTCATCTTACGCTCTTTGCTGTACAGAGCAGGAAGTGAGGAACTTCCATGTCCTTGTCCTTCAAATCTCCCAGGACAAGCTGATGGGCCCTGGTAGTCCACATTTTCTGCTCTAATATCATACCTGGGGTGTGCTGCTCTATGCAAGGGTCCCCCAAATGTCCTGCAGATAAGTTTTTGTTAGGGAATTTTCCTGGGTATACCTCTGGGTTGCCTACACACTTCCTAGTCAGCCCACAGGCCTCTCCCTATCCAGGCTGACTCATGTTTATTTTGTCTGCTTGGGCCTATCGGCACTAAGGTTACAGCCTAGGCCTGCTGCTCCTAAACTATTTCCAACATATTCCTAATTGGTCATCTCACAATTCTGCTTGATTCCCAAAACATGAGACAAAAATACATACTTGGATTAAAGCTACCTGGGTTCAAATCCCAGCCCTGCCACAGGGTAGCTGTATGAAGTCAGGTGAGCTTCTTCCTCACCTCTGAAGACTGGAGATGATATAATTTCCACATTCCAGGGTTACTGTGAAAAGTGAATGACTGAATTCTTAAAAAGAGCTATAAATAGTAACCAGCATACCCAGGGAAGCTTGTTCTCAGGACCCCCCTTTTCCAGCAGCCATCTGTACCTGAGTGGGTTGGGTTTACCATGCTTGCAGGACTCTGGACAAAGGAACAATGTCTTCAGCAGATTTTTTTTCCATGTTCAATGGCAAATGAGGGCGCTGACCTCGCTGAGTCTGGAAGCCTGTGATTTGGTACCCGACATGCTTGGCAGCTCCTCTGGCCTCAGAGGAATGATGGAGTCTGGGAGGCTTCCGCTGTGGAGCAGGCCTCAAAAACTCCCGCCTTCCCGCCCTTCAGAACCCAGGAGTTTCAAGCTGGGGCTTCAGGGCCTGGGGAGCTGCCAGGCGCCTTTCAACCCTCCCGCCTTGCTAGCAGCAGGGATTGTGTAAGAGCCACCATCCCCCACCCCCTACGGCTGCTCGCTCTCATGGCACGCCTGGGCCTGCCTGGCCTCCCTGGGGAGCTGGGCCAGAGGCCCAGGCTCCTGGTACCCACACAGGTCTGGCCGCCTGGGGAGGCTCTGCCTGGCAGGGAGAGGGTGGGGAATGTCTCTTGATATTTGAGGCCTGCCCCCAGACTGGTGTCAAGGCCTATGGAGCCCAGTGCAAGACAATGGTAGGTGGCTGGGGGTGGTGAGTGTGCAATGTACATGACCACCACCCTTGGGCATAAGGGTGCCATCGTGCCAGGCTCCCTGTGTATATGCCCCCTGCAACAGTTCCAGGAATCTTGTGTTTGCCTGAACTTTTTCCTGGCCTGCTTCCCTCAAGCCCTCTGTGTGTGTACCTATTTGCATAGTTGAGCTCCGTGGGTGTTTTGCTTAAGCTTTGGTTAAGTTGGTGAGTGGGTTGGTGGACCCAGCATCAAGGAGGCAGGGAATGTACTGGCTGCATACACCCGGGCAACTGCCTATGAAGGGCCGGGAGGATGCTGCACCTGAGGGTGCAACCTCCATGGCACCTTCACACCTGGCCCTTCCTGCCACCCAAACCCACATGGAAGCCAGCAGGACTGGGAGCCCCAAGGAGGGGCTTATCAAGGTCACAGAGCAAGC